CACAACCCTGGGCTGGGGCCAGCAGCTGAGTTTTCCCAGCCGTAGAGCTGTGCTGAGAACTGTACAGGAGTTCAGGACAGTTATATTGGTCTCAAAATGGCCAACCCAATCTAAGTTAGACTAACTATATAAAAACTGTGCAAAGAAGTTTTGTCCTTCTCAGTAATGAAATCAACAACCAAACTGCCAGCTCAGAACTGAAACTCTGTGTTAAACCTTTTCTGTTTTGTGTCCTGAGAGACCTAAAAATGGATCGTTTTACTGTTTGCAAGTGTTATAATGAGCTCAGAATAGTTGAGGGACAGAATTCAACGTTATCTCTGTTTGCAATTTACAGCAAATATCTAATTTTGTTTTACTTCAGTATATTCTGTCAACTACCCCTCCCCCACTTATACTAGCTTCAACAAAAAAGGTCTAAAACCCCTCAAGGAGTTAACAGATAACAATCAAGCATATAAGGGCATATTTAGGCAGTTTAAAATGTATAGTGTTTATCCAGTAAATAAATGACATCAGAATTGTTCTGGTCTACTGTGTACAATAGCTGATTTAGAGCTAATATTTGAAAATTTTCTGTATTTAACTAATCTTTCTTAATAGCCTGTGATGTCAATGGGCCAAGTTGCTTAGATTTTTAGTTTATTTCTTATGTCTATAGCTAACATTTGAGGGAAAGATCTGTCTCTTAATTTGATATTGTTATTTCAAATTTAAAGATTATTTTTGCTATTTCACTCAATATGTAAGCATTAACATTTATATGATTTATCTCTTTGAATTTCAGGAACAGAAAACATTTGGAATATTTGTATCAATGACCAGGTCTTAACAATGATCTTATGATTGTGGATTTGAAAACAGAAAGGGACTCAGACAAAAGAATTATGGTTCTTAACATCTCCAGCAATGAAGATGAGTTGAACCTCTGATGGGTGAAATTTCTGGAATGGACAACAAACTTTTTGAAGAGGATCAGGTGTCACGTGATTCTACACCTACCAGGTGTCAGGAGACTTCAGAGGACACAATGAATGAAGAATATGAAACAAAGGCAGAAGAATGGGAATGCCAATTGGAAGTCCAGCACATTCTGCTGGAGCCTGAATCCAGTTCTCTATCTATGTCATACCTAATAAACTGCAATGAGACATCTGTGGAGCCTGGCATGGTTATAAGCAGCGTCACTGCTGCTGATGAACCTGATATAAAGCATTTTTGTGAAGAATTACTATATTCTTCAGCACACAAATCTAAGTACAATCCTGTGCACTTGCCCTTACATACTGCCTGTCCCTCCCCATTCCTTCCAAGAGGAAGCTCAGATGAACTATCAGAAAGGGTTCACAAGATCAGAGTGAGGAAACACAAACCAAGTGCTATCTCTTTTTCTGACTTTGAATTTTTATCACTTGGAACTAATGCTAAATTCCATCTTTGTGAAGTAACAGAAACATCTGAAGAGGACGAGGAGAGGGGTGGTGATGATGACGTGTTTACAGAGCTGCCCCAACCTGGGGTATTTCTTAACGGTCTTCATAAAAGGGCTGTTTCCCAAGGAAAAAGAGAAGAACAAGAACACTGCAAAAGTCAGCATATCCATCATGTAGAGAGTTCCTGTGAGCATTCTGAAGGGACCCTGGATAACCACAAAAGGGAAGAAAAGCAAATGGCTTTGGTGGTAAGACAAGCTAATTTCTTGTTCCAACCAGACAAGTTGTACCTAAGCAGCATTATTTTAGTTCAGCTAAGAGGGTGCAGATTGCTAAAATTTCATATCTTTTTAACTGCGTAATTATAATTGGAGTGTACTAACTTAATCTATAAATAGGTTAGTTTGAATATAAAAAAATGTTAGCGTCAATATGAACAATCCTTGTGCATTTTCTTGAAGCTTTCTATACAGCACATTCAAAAGTTACACCCCCATCCCTCCTTCCATAAAAATTTGTTGAAATCCATAGATCCCTGGTTTATTCTTTTGTGGTCTTCATCAAAAAACTGTAATGAGCTTGGCTCTTATTGTTTTGCTCTGGCTGCTTTGGACTCATTTGGTAACACAAAGCAGCTATAAACAAATTTAACTAGCTAGTTAATATTTTTTTACAGTTGCTTTGCAGCATCAGGCTGGCATAAAGCAGCTGGAATGTACCAATAATCTGGCCCTAGGCCTCTTCTTTAATTAAAATGTACTGCCAGAAGTCAAACTTTGTCCATTCTATAAATTTATTATTAATCCAAAGAAACATACACAGCTGACAATACAGTAACAACAAAAATATTATACTATATTTTCAAAATGATGAAAAAGGAAAAACTTGAATCAATCAAAACTATTTCTTCAATTTTTCTTGCTATACTTCCATTAGCCTGAGCTTTAAACTTCATTTTTATCCTCAGATTGGAAAATTGGCTCTTTCATTTTTTCCTGCTCCAGCAGAGACTACCTGGTGCAGTATCTCTCCCTTGCTACACAAGTGACACTGTGCTGGCTAACACTGAAATACATTTCCAGTGGCTGTGGATAGCTCTAAGCAGGCATAATTAAGGTTGCAGTCAGGGAGTGGAATGGGTGAAGTGGCTCTGTGGAAGTTGCTTCTTATACATACTCCTTGGTGGTGTGATCTATCATACAGCGAGCCATTGGAAGGGGAAATTTCATACTCATTTCCCTGTGCTAACATACAAGCAAGGTTGCAAACTGATCCATTAAATAGATAATCTGTATCTGTCTTATTATGCCATTGAACTTCTTAAGGAAAAAAACAATTCTTATTATTAAGAAAAAAAAAGAGATTCAGGACAACTCTAAGGAAATACAGTAACAAGAACCAAACTGTAGTCTTTTGAGCATTAATTGTTTGAGTAATAACCCATGTTCTTTGGCACTGGGGGAGTATAATAAAATTCATACACACTTTCCAACTGAATTCTCACTAGTCTGGGATCCAATACTTGGATCCAAATCAAGTTTAGCTCTAGTATAAAAATGCACAGCTGTCTCTGTAGTTGGGGAAAGCAAATCTACAATCTTAAACTGCATGGACTATCAGACCTGCCTGGTCATCTTTTCCATTTTTTAATATTGACTTAATACTTTTGCTATCAAGGAGCTTTGATTACAGTGATGTAAGGTACTTACAGCCTCAGCATCTCCTACTTCTATACATTCCTTTTTTCCCTCAAATATATGTTATAAGATTGTAAACACTTACACAAAGTTTATCCCATTATAGCTCCAATAACTTCTGATTTATGACAGCATAAGAAAGAGTACAAATCAGGACCATAACATTTAAATAAGAAAATATTATATATCTAATGCTTAATTCGTTCTTGCTTCTTTCTGAATCTTGTTTTGTATCCTAAGAAACAATTCTGTGCCTGGTGCCTGTTGACATCAATGATAATTTTGCTGCTGACTTCCAGAGTAGGACTGTTTCTCCTCCTGTTTATTACTATGCTGTGAAAGCAAAATATTCTTTGGGATCATAATTGTTTTTTATGAGAGTAATAAATTGAACTGAAACAGCAATGATAGAGCTCTTGGGAGGTATAGAATACTGGATTGTTACTCATTGTCTGCCCCTTGGTTGAAATCCTATCCAGTGTGTTTTGAGTGACATGATAATTACGTTTCCATATTTGGCACTGCTAGCCTCCTGGCCATTTGCTTTGCAAAACACTATGCTTATCATATGGGTAGCTATTGCTTTATTTCATCTAGATGAAACAGCTTGAATTAGATGGGTGAACACTTTAAAAAAAGGTAAAAATTAGTTAACATTTACTCTAACGTCAATATCTTTGGGGTTACAGGAAAACATACACTTCTCACCATATCTATTAATAAAATGAGGTATCAGTAAATTTATTTTAGAATTCAGCTGAAGTATCTGTTGTATTTTGGGGTAATAATTCTCAGTCACAGTATGTGAACCCTTCACTGGTTCAGCTAAAAGCGTATTTTGTCTTCATAACTCCTAAGGTTCTTCAATCATCATTATAACCGTTGTTGTAGTCTTAAGTCTGTTGAGGTACTTGTACCAACTACTGCTATTAGAAAACCTCATACTGGGCTTTTTCAGAAATACTGGACCACATGTTACATAACTCTCATAGTAAAATCCCAGTGACAAACAGTTTATTGAATTGTTATGCTGTTACTATAATTTATGCTTTTGCATTCATTCAAGAACAGTAGTGTCTGCATTTCTATTAATGTAAACATGCATCAAATTGCAAGACTAACATCCTCTTACTTCACTATACTGAAGGTCATTCCTGTGGATAAGAGAGGCTAGGACTGGTTGTCATTTAGCTTACTTTATGCCCGTGCCATAAAATAAACTCAAGGATGCATCTTATAGTACAACAGAATGGATTATAAATTTCTAGGCAAGCTTGTGGAACAGCCTAGTAAATCTCTGAGAACATGTCAAAAACATTTTAGAAAACGGTGCAGATTTAATAATGTAAATGTGTAATCCTTCTGTCAGAGTGTTTCTATATTTAAATGGGTACATATCACTGTAAGAAAGGCTCCAGTAAACAAAAAAAGTGTAGCCTGTGAAATTTTTAGTAAGTCATATTAATTTTTGTTCTGGAAGCGTTCAGCATGACTAGTTCAGACCCATGCTAATGACATGGATCACTGTCTAGTTCTCTCTCTTATTTAGAGGTGAGGCTACAGAATAATTTCTCTGTAGTGAAAAGAAATGACCTAACCGTAGGCACTGTCAGAGTAAAGCCTCTGCCAATAGCAGTAATTATTAAGGCCTGAAACATAAAAAAGGTAACAAATCACCTTTACCATACCGTTATGGGATATCCAACATGTTAGTATGAATGATATCCTGATGCCTAACTTCATACTACCACAGCTGACTTTGAAATAATGATTAGGATCTATCCTGTAGGGCATTCCTAAGTAAATGTACTTTCTATTGATCTGTTTATTCTGGATGTCAATACTGACCTAAACAGGGTTAAGGAATAGTTTAGTTGCTAAGAAAAAACTAAGCTTAAAACCACTAAAATACAAATAGTCATTGTTTATTATTTCTTCTCTAGGTAACAAAAGATTGCCTACTTTCTTTAAAGTGTCCTCCTATCATGGCATAACTGTGCAGCAGCAAATGTTGTAAGGACTAGGGTGGTAACTCCTATTTTATGAGAGATACCTCATTTACCCCAAGTAGCACTCTACTGTGCAAATAATCCCACTGAAATAATCTCGCCATACGGCAGAGCCCAGCATGTGTAAAATGGTAGGATCTGGCTTCTTTGCTTCTTCTGTTAAGAGCTCACCCTAGCTATTTAACAGCGGACCCATGGCTTCCTTGCTCTTGCTTTTCTGACCAATATATTTATAGAGCCTCTTCTTGTTGTCTTTAACTTTCCTCACCAGGTGTAGTCCATCGTTGACCTTCACCTCCCTGATATTGTTCCTGCCGTTTCTTGCTACTTTTTGGTATGCTCCATGACCTGCCTGTTTTTCCATTGCCTGTAGGCTTTCCTTTCACTTTTGAGGAATCCTAGGAGCCCCTTGTGGAGCAACTTTGGTCTCTTGCTATTCTTCTTATGCTTCCAGCATGTTAGAATACCTGCTTGTTAGGCTTCAAATTCTGAAGCTTCTAATACTCCTGAGCCCCTTTATCTTTCAGCCTGTTATCCCACGGTGTTATGTCTACTATCTCCTTGGGTCAGCTGAAATCCACATTTTGATATCCAGTGTTTTAGTTTTGCTTACCACATGCTTTCCCCATTTCATAATCATGAATGTTATCATACTGTGTTCACTTCCTCCCAAGTTTCCCCTCACTTTCACATCGAATTAACCTGGTCTTCCCAATTGGTCAAAACAAGATCCAAGATAGATGATCTCCTAGTTATATCCTCAACTTTCTGAAACAGAAAGTTGTCCTCCACACAAATTAGGAACTTCTCAACATTTTACATTTGCATGTGCTATTCTTCCAGCAGATAATCCAGAAAAAATGAAGACTCCCAACACTGCCATTTCATAATTTTTGGATAATATTGTCATCTGAAAGAATGCCTCGTCCACCTCTTTTTCCTGACTTGGCAGTCTATAGCAAATCTTCACCATTAAATCATATCTGGAGCTTTCACCTTTATTTTTACCAAAATACACTCTGATGTGCTACTGTCTTCCTCCTGAACCAGGCAACAAGTATGTATATTTTTGATAGATACAGCAATGCCACCACCTTTTCTCCCAACCTTATCCTTCCAAAACAAAGCATAACCCTTAATGTTGATGTTCTAGCCATAAGAGTTGTCCTATCAGCTGATTGTTGGTCTCAGTCTGTTTCAGCCTAGAGCTAGCCAGTCAGAAAATTAAACACTGCATTGTTTCTGAATTCTCACCCTTCTCTAAATCTAACATTGGGATCTAATGGTGGTGCAGCCTCCCACCTTTTGCATAATACCGTGGCAGGTAGAGCACTTGCCTAGAGCTAGAATTACCCGGTCATTTGGCCCTCTTCAGCCTAAAAGGCTTAAAGCCATTAATCCCACCAGAGCCCAGGTGGGGGGAAAATTCTTCACTCCTCCTATTGAAGCTGTGCAGCCAGAAATTCAACATTCCTAATAAAAAAGAGAGTGAGCAAAAGGGAGCCTGACTGCATAGTTCAATGAGGTTGGGATCCTGGGTCC